GGGCAGTTTTGGTTCTTCCTGGGGCCTTTTGGGACCGCGTCGAGGATCGTCAGGAATGTCCCACAGGGCTCTGTGGGGCCCCCTAGGATAGCCAGCTGGGGACTCCCCGGGGTCTCTTGGGGGCCTCTGGGAGCCGCTGGGGGCCTCTCGGGGGCCTCCACGGGCGGAAAGGTCATGTTGATTAGCGTTCGCTCTCGAGGTTTTCTGCCTGAGATGCTCTGCCCCGCGGTGGTCAGGCCACTGTCGCCTCCTCGCAACTCTGACCTCAAAAACGTTCTACCCCGCGGTGGTCAGACCTCTTTCGCCTGAGACACCCACGCAACTGCGTTGGTCAGGCCGCGCCTGAGACATCCTCGCAACTCTGACCTCAGAGATGCCCTGTACGACGGTGGTCAGGCCACTTTGGCATGAGACATCCTCGCAAACCTGGGTTCCGAAATGCCCTGGGCAGAAATGGTCGCGCCACGTTCGTTGAAACATCCCCAATACTCTGACCTCGGGAATGCCTGACTACGAGACGCCTTGAGCTGAAATGGTCAAGTTACTTTCGTTTCAAACATCCCTGCAATTCGAACCTCGGAGATCACCGGAAACGCCCGTGCAACTCTGGCTTCCGACGCCCATCCTTCCTCCTCCCCCACATACGCCTCTTCGATCGCGCTGGAAAAAGAAAGGCCGACGATAAGTGCGAACGCTAAAAACGGGCTCTGCCGCCGCCGCCTGCCTGGGCGCGGCCGCTGCAACGGCCGCCTCCGTTGACGCCGCTACCGTCGTCGTCAACGTCGCCGCCGCCGTCGTCGGAGGCGCCGCGGAGCTTGTCTCCGCCGTCGACCCAGATTTCCCACGCGCTGACTGAACGCAGAGATTTTTGGGCACTCGGCACCTGGAGGCCGTTTTCACGCCCTGGGGCTGGGGGGAAACAGCCCTGGATGAAAAGTCTGCATGCGGCGGGAAGGGGTTCGCGCCCTCGCGGGCCCCGCATTGAAAAAACATGAGGTCTGATGTCCGGGGCCGCCGCCACCGCCGTCACCGCTATCGCCGACGACGTCGTCGCCGTTTTCGTCGCCGTTTTCGACGACGACGACAACGACGACGACAAACCACGACGACGACGCGCGCGGAACCCCCTCCTTACTGACCTCCTCCCCCCCTTTTCCTCCTCCCCCTGCCGGCCGCGCGCGCCACCGCTGCAAGAGTGACCTCCCGGGCTTCCCGGCTGGGCCTGGGCCGGCCAGGCGGTCCGCGCAAGGTCCGCACAAGGCTCGCGAGAGGCCGCACAAAGAGGTTCCACCGACCAGCCCCTGCGATCGCAGTCTGGGGAGCGCCGCCGGAACCTCTCGCGCGGCCTCTCGCGCAAATCTTGCGCGGACCTCGCGCGCGCTTTCGGGCCCGCCCAGGCCCGTGGCCGCGCCCCCAGAAATCGACCTCGAGGCTTGCGAACCAGCGCTTCGATCCCTTGCACCCTCCAAAATCGGCGACCCGCGGCGACCCCACCCTATCCTCTTTCCTCATGGCCGCGGAGGGGAAGGAGGAGGGAAAGGAGGAGGAGGAGGCGGAGGAGGGTCTTTGTTATATAAAAAAGAGAGAGACCGACGACGTTGAGACAATGTCCAAACTGCGCGCGGCGCAGAATTAAGAGGTCGACTTTTGCCGAACCGCTTTCGATTCTCGCCAGCTGGGGGCAAGGGCGGGCAGGGGTTTGAACGATCCACCGGGCCTACAAGGACGGCGGCGTGGTCGAAGGCGCGCCGGGCTGCTAGAGCTGGGGCCCGCCGCGACCGCCGGCCAGGCGCTGGGCGCTGGGCGCGGCGGCCTGGAACGCCAGCGCTGGGGGCAGCTTCGCGCCTGAGCTGTTCTTCGCCGAGGTCTGCGGCCCCACTTGCGTGCTGAAAACATGGCGCAGAGCAGCCCGCCGCTGCTCAGGAGCCGTGTCTCGCATCGAGCGACCCACGTGCTCCTTCAGCCGAAAAGGATGGTTGGGCGCATTCGGCCTTGTGGCATCCGTCCGCCATGCTCTTCGAACATCTGCGCGCCCGCTCTGGCGCCTCCTGTTTTGACTTGGCCAGCGCTTCGCTGCGCTGCCCGCGGCCGTCTCCGGAGGCAGGGGGACCTGCCGTGCCGCCCTCTGGTCGACCCAGGCTTGGCGGGCCTCGGCGTGGGCCGTCGCCGCCCAGGGGGCGCTGCCCGCGGTTGCGTCGGCTTCTGCGCCGCCCTTGGCCCTCTGGGACGACCCCATCGCAGCTGCGAGCGCGCCCGTCATAAACGCGGCGTTCGTGGCCCACGCCCCCTGGGAGCGAGTGTGTTCGAGTGGCATCTGCTTGCACTCCGGGTTTTGCTGGGCTGCTTTTGCAACCTCCACCAGGTGCCCAAGGGTGGCCGCCTTGTAGTCGTCTTCTGTGGCGATGCCGCTCATGAGCCACGCTGCCGCGCCGCAGCCTGGGTGGTCGCGCATCCATATCACGATTCTGGCGAGCGCCACGAGTACGGTCACATCGGTAGCGGTGCCCATCGCGAAAGAAAACGTCAGCCTCGCTCCTAATCTCGCGACCAGCCATGCACCTTCTACAATCTGAGGCGCGTACGGCAGGTTCGTGTCGTGCCGACCCCAGCGTTGGTTTTTGACACCGCAGGGATCGTTCAACCTTGAACGATCGGCCGCTGCCGCAACGTCCGATCGTTCAACATCGATCGATTCTGGGTCGCCGGCGGCGTTCAACCTTGAACGCCCGCGCTGGGGTCGCCGCTGGTCGACACGACGCAAACCTACCGTAGCTTTCGAGGCTCTCGGCCTCCAAGAATGCCTTCAACAGATCGGCCATCCCGAATTTCTCACGAAAGGCTGGCGGGCACGGCGAGAAGTCGGAGGGGCGCTCGAGGGTTCGAGCCATTGCAGCAACCGGCGATCCCCATCCGTCCCTTTCCATCCCCATCGGCCCCCCGCTCCTCCCACTCGTACTCCCTCCCAGGAGCACGGCAGACCAGCGCGGCAGACGAATCTCTCGTGCCGCCAAGGTCTGGTTGTTGGCCCTGGGGCAACAAAGACATTCGAACACGTCGGAAATGTTGCGGCCCGTTTTGCCTCAGACTGCCTGAGTTCCGAAATGCCTGAGCTGAGGTGGCCAGGCCACTTTCGCCTGAGACATGTTCACAGCTTTACTTTAGGCTCGACGCACCCCTGAACAGTGGTCGACAATGACTTTCGCCTCAAACAGCCTCGCAATTCTGAACTCAAAAAGTCTCTGGTCAACTCATTTTCGCCCAAGACATCCTCGCGACTCTGACGGAGGCGGAGGAGGGCTGAAGGGCAGGCCGTCCGGGCCGTCGGGGGACCCTTGCGAGCCCTTCAGGGGAGATGCCGTCGAGGATTTGTCCCGCTCCCCCAGAGCGAAGCGGGGTCGGAACAAATCGACAGACGTCGGCTAACGCATCGAACGGGCAATACATCGACATCTGCCCCTGGAATCGGTTCCAATCGGCAGCCGCGGACATCGTTTCGAATGACCCCTGGAAGAAACAGGAGGAGGAGGACGAGGAACGCAGGACAGATAGGACAAATCCTCGAAGCTCTGAGTTGCAAGGATGTCTCGGGCGACACTCCCACCATCCTCATTGTCTCCTCCCGCCCTCATTGTCCCCTCCCGCATATCCTGCACCTCCTCGTCCTCTTGTGATTTCTTATTCTTCGGTTCTAAACAAACAATCGCACATGCTAAGCCGGCGCCAACAGCCAGCACAAGACACCGCACAAGCGCGCACAAGGCAACCCGCACAAGGCTCCGCACAAGGCTCCCGAGCTTACTCTTTCTATTAAAACATAATTGTTTAGCAGTTGTTCCTCGACATTGATCGCCCTCGACATTGATCGTCCCGCCCCCGCCTCACAATTCCTGCCCCCCCACCCCTCCGCTCCTGGAGGAGAGGGACAGCGAGAAGGAGGAGGAGGAGGAGGACATCGACGACGACGAGGATGACGACCGTGAGGAGGAAGACGATGATGCTGATGATGCTGATGATGATGCTGATGATGATGCTGATGATGTCGATGATGCTGCAAAGGCAAATGCTGATACTGATGCTGATGATGCTGCTGCTGTTGATGATGCTGATGACGGTGGTGGTAAGACGAAGATGGCGATGGTGATGATGATGATGGTGACGGTGGTGGTGATGAGGATGGTCATGATGATAACGATGATGACGATGATGACGATGATGATGACGATGATGACGATGATAACTATGATGATGATGATGATGATGATGATGATGATGGTGAGGATGAGGATGAGGATGAGGATGAGGATGAGGATGAGGATGAGGATGAGGATGATGATGATGATGATGATGATGATGATGATGATGATGATGATGATGATGATGATGATGATGCGACTGATGATGATTGTGGTGGTGATGATGACGATGATGCTGAGGATGATGATGACGATGATGATGATGATGACGATGATAACAATGACGATGATGATGATAATGGTGATGATGTTGATGATGATGATGATGCTGATGGGATAATAATCGTAGAGCATGAGTGTTGATGTGGACCGACAGTTTGGGGTGGGATCGTGGAATTTTCCTTGGAGCCTCGGAGCCCGCAGGGGCGTGCCAGCGTGTTGGGGTGCCTTTTCGCCGGAGGGCCAAGTTCCCGGCCTGGCTCCCCTCGGCCCTCCAAAACGGGTGGGCTCGGTAGGTTGTGTTTTGGTTGCCCGTGAAGGCCCCCCTGCCCTCGCGTGTGCTGCACGGCCTGCTCCGCAACCGTACCATTTGGCTCCAATCTGGTACAGATTATCGCGAGGTTTGGGCGCCCAGCCCACCTCGCTGCAGGGCGCGGCATGGCGCCCTGACGGGAGCAGCGGGCTCCACCCGTGGAATCGAAGACGCGTGCGAGGCCGCGGCGGCGCTGCCCAGGTGCAGCAGGCCGCGGCTAGCTGGTGTGCTGGGCGCCCCGCGCCGAGGGCGCGGCAGCGGCCAGGCGGAGCTGGATGGCGGTCTCGGCGGGCGCCAAGAAGGCAGGGACCGAGGCGCTGCGGGCCGCTGGTGCGGACGTCTCAGACGACGAGGTCGCGGGGCTCGTCCTGAAGGTGCGATCGACGTTGAACGCGGGGCGGGCCCCCCGCTCGAAGCTGGACGAGGCGCGACGGCTGGAGGCAGCGCTGGACCCGGTGGCCGTCCGCCTGGCTTTGGGGAACCCTGAGGTCCCGGGCTCCGAGATGGCCGAGGCCCTCTGGGGGTTCACAGAGGCCGCCACGTTCTCCACTCAGGCGGAGAGTCGGATTCGACGAGTAGCCGCCGACACCGACGGCTGGGAGAAGGTCGCGGACCGGATCTGGGCCCGTGCCGTCGGCGAGGACGGGGACACGCTGCCCGTCGACTGGGTGCTGCACCTGGGCATCGGTCTCTTCCTGTCCAGCCTGGTGGTGGTGCTGTGGGCCGACTCCGGGCGGCACCGCCTGGCGGGCGCGGCAGTGGGGCTGTGCGGGACCTCCCTGCTCGTGCGGCGCGTGCCCGAGCGTGTGACCGCCTGGTGGGCGCGCTGGGGGCGGCGCTCGGCTTTCGCCGCGGCGCTCAGCAGCGGCGGGGACGGCCTGGACCTCGCTGCCGCCGAGGACGACGGCGCGGCCTGGGGCGCTCAGGGAGCCCCGACGCCCAAGGGGAGCTGCGCGGCGACCGCGGAGGCACCTACGGGCCCGCTGCTCCCGCCTGGGCTCGCGGCGCTCCCGCCTCCGCCGTGGGCCCCACCTGCCGAGGGCGCGGGCGCGGTTGCCGCGACGGCGAAGCCCGGCTCGCAGGACCTGGCGGCGCTGCGGGCTTTCGCCCAGGGGAGCGAGGTGCCAGGCCCCTTCAGCCAGACGGCGGCCCTGCAGCAGCAGCAGCAGCAGCAGCAGCAGCCGCAGCCGCCGCCTGAGGGGGCCGTGCCAGCGGCTGGGCTCAGCATCCACGCGCCTCACGCTCCTGCCGATGCTGTGAAGCTAGGGCGAGAGGTGCAGATGGTGGGGGCCACGCTCCGCGAGTTCCAGGCGCAGGCTGCCACGAACGTTTACTGGGCCTGGCACTTCTGGGAGAGAATCGCGGCCGTGGACGGTACCCAGGGGCTGCACCCTGACCTGCGACGAGTGCTGCAGACCCACGGCTACGTGGGCGCGGGGACGAAGTCCCCGCCAGGAGGGTCGCTGCCGCAGGAGCTGGACGCGCTGCTCTCCTCTGCCACGGCGCCGCACGGCGCGGGCATGCAGGCCTCCCCCGGTTGGGCCTTGGCCCCGCAGACCCAGCAGCAGCAAGAGGACAGCCGCTGGAACCTGAGCCTCCCGCCGGATCTGAGGCGCGCGGCGCCGGAGATCTACCGCACCATGCGGGGAGCGGGGGCGGCCAGCGCACGCGACTGGCTGTCGCAGGAGGTGACGGGCCAGCGGCACACGCCGGTCTGGACCGAACTGTGGACCGCCGCCACCAACGTGGACTACTTGCTGGGCGGGTGTAAGACTCAGTCCGAGCTGCTCACCCGCCTGGCGTCCGACGACGCGCTGGAGCTGCACTTGAGGCGGCTGGCGAGCTACGTCTACGAGATGCGGACGAAGGACAAGCTGGGGGCGGCGGCAATGTTGGCTGTTCGCCCGCCCGGGTCGGCCGCCGACTTGGCCCCCACCTGGCTGGTGACCGAGGCCACGACCCACAGCAAGGCTGAGCACCAGCGCGACGAGAGGGTCCACGGCGCCAGCAAGCGCGACGGCCGAGGCGGCGGCCGTGGCGGGGGACACGGAGGTGGCGCTGGCAGCGGCGCCGAGGCAGCTGGTGGCGGCAGAGGCAGAGGTGGCGACGGCGGGGGGCGCGGCCGCGGCCGAGGGGGTAAGCCCTCGGGCCGAGGCAAGCCCCAGGCCTGACGGTCACTGGCGGACTGAGGGGCTTACGACCCTCCCTCGGTCCGAGAAGGTGCCCCGCCGCCGCGGGTGCAGCCTGAAATGCCAGTGATGGGTTTGCCTGGCTCGCTGACGCGAGCCCTGCAGTGGAAGGAGGCCGAGGCCCGGTCGTTCTTTCCCATTCCTCTACCTCATCGGCCACAACAAGGAGCTTCCTCTTCCGGCAGGTTGAGGACGCGCTGGGCTCGACGCATGCGTGTGTGGCGTCGGGCCTGCGGGCTCATCGAGCTCATGAATGGGATGGACCGCGGATCCCTGGAGGCGAGACCAGCGGGCCAGCGCGAGTCGAGCGACGACGAGATGATGCTGGCCTGGCAGCTCGTGCAGCAGTACGCGCTACAGGACGCGGCGCGGTACGAGCGCGACTGCCGGGGGCTTGCCCCGACAGGCGGTCAAGGGACGGATCTTGCCTGCGACAGAGGACCGCAGGACGCCTACACTGGAGAGCGCAAGGGTGCGAGCAGGCACGTGACGATGTGCGCAGCGGCGGTGGCAGAGCCGCCTGATGACATGGTCGTGGACCTGCTGGAGGCGCTGCCCGACGGCGAGCGCCAGTATTATTCGGACGAGCGGAACGTGCTGGACTACAGCGGCAAGTCAGGGGTCATCTTCGAGGAGCTGGAGGAACGTTTCGCTTTCGTGGGGGGCTCGACGTCCGAATACGCCCGCTACTTGATGCGGGACGATTTGCCGAAGGACATGTGGACGTTCGAGGCCCCCTGCGACGTCCAGGCCTACTGCGGGTTCAGCTGCGTGCCCAAGAAGGACCCCGCCAAGCAGAGGAAGGTCCTGATGATGTGCGCCAGCAACTACGTGTGGGCCGACCCGCACCAGCGCGGCGACCACGGGATGCACGGCGGGGCGGCCATCGCCTCCATGTGCGTCCCGACGGACGAGCGGGGCGTGGCGGCGCTCGACGAGGACAACGCCTTCACCCGCCTCCGCGTCCCCGCTTGGATGGCCAAGTGGCAGGCATGCCCGCCGATCCGCGCCTGCTGGGTGTGGGCGAAGCTCAGCCAGCGCCTGCGCGACATGGTGGGGCCGACGGGCTGGATAGCCCCCTGCTACCATCGCCTGGCCATGGGCGGCTCGCACTCCGTGCACCTGCTGATGACGGTCAACATGGCGATCATTGGCAGGGCGCTGCTGGGCGTGGGCGCACGCTTGGGGGCGCTTGCGGGCGCCGCGGCACCCGCCGACGGCGCTGCCAGCGGTGTGCCACGCACCTCGCCGCCCGAGGACGGGGGGCTGGAGGATGGCGACTGCGTGGATGCCGGACCTGAGGACGCTCAGCAGCACCGCTACGACGACGACTGGCTCGGGCAGCAGTCCAGCTGCCGCGCCGCGCCGCCTAGCCCGGCGGGCTACAGCGTGGCAGAGTGGATAGAGGCCGTGAAGCGGGCGAAGAGAGCGGACGAGCGGGTGATGGTGGTGATGCATCTCTTCGCTGGCCGTCGGCGGCGTGGGGACGTTCAGGAGGTGGTAGAGAGGCTGGCGAAGGAGCGGAACTTGAGGGTGCTCTTCCTTTCCGCCGATCTCCTGGACGACCCGCGGTGGGACCTGGCCAACCCCTCCACTTTCTCCGCCTTGATGGAGTTGTGCGAGGGCGGCTGGGTGGACATCGTGCTGGGCGGCCCGCCCTGTTCGACCTGGTCGCGGGCGCGCTACAATCGTCGCCGACCTGGCCCGCCGCCGGTGCGCTCGCGGCTGTGCCCCTGGGGTCTGCCAGGTCTCAAGGCCTGGGAGGCCGCGAGAGTCGCGGAGAGTAACACCCTGGCGCTAAACTTGTTGGCGCTCTGCGAGGCGCGCGGCCAGAGTGGCGGCGCCTTCCTCATCGAGCACCCGGAGGACCCAGGGCACGCGCCCTACCCATCCATCTGGAACACGAATGAGATGCTGGACTTCGAGACGAGGCGCTCGTCTCGGAGAGCGCGCTTGGACCAGTGCATGCTGGGCGGACGGACGAAGAAGCCCACGTGCCTGAGCGGCACGCTGCAGGGGCTGGAGGACCTGAATGAGCTGCGGCGCGACGGGTCCCACGTCCACGAGTCGGCCGAGGGCAAGTTGGCCGACGGCACCTTCCGCACGAGCCCGCTGGCCCAGTACCCCGAGGGGATGTGCGAGTCGCTGGGCATCTTGATTGTCCGGACCTTGGCCATCTTCGAGCAGACCGGCTTGGGCGGCACCGGGTGGCGAAGGCCGCCAGAGGCCGACAGGGCGGTCACAGCATGGGGCTCGCGGAGCACTACGGCACCAGCGGTGGCCGTGCGGAACGAGGACGTGCTTCGCGGCCGCGGGCTGGTGCTGGACGGGCCGCAGATGGCCTTCTACCTGCACGTCGACGACGGCGTGGTGATGGCAGGGGGCAGCGGCTGCGGCCCACGGGCCACTGGGAAGATGCACCAGCTGGCGGGCGCCTTGGCCGAGGCCGGCTTCGTGGTCACCGACCGCACGGAGGCCAGCGACATGCAGAAGGTGCTGGGCTACGCACCACAGGCGCGTCCAGCGCAGCTGCGCTTGCCTCCGAAGAGGGCACGGGAGCTGGTGCAGCAGCTGGAGGCGATGGGCGCCACCCGCACCCTCCACACCGAGGAGCTGCGCTCGCTCTTGGGGGCGTGGATCTGGGGCGCACTGCTGCGGCGCGAGCTGCTCTGCATACCCAGCGCCGTCTTCAGGCTCCTGGAGAGGTACCCGCACCAGCGGGTGAGCACCTGGGCGACCGTCCGCAGGGAGCTGCGGGCCATGGCTAGGGTAGTCCCGTTGATGTACGCTGACCTGGGAGCCCCGCCAGCGCCCGTGTATTTCGCGGCGGACGCCATGGGCGCCAACGTGGAGGACGACGGCGGCTGGGGGATCCTGGCGACCGACATGAGCGAGGACATCGCGAAGGACGTCATCGACACGGGCGGCAACTTGGGCTACGCCGTGGCGAGGCTGGACGGCGAGCTCACTGGATTGCGGCGCCCCGAGCAGGTCATCAGACGGACGAAGCCCTTCAGCCTCCTGCCCGATCGCGTTTTCAAGCCCGACGAGGACTGGACGATCGTAGGAGCGGGCAGGTGGCGGTCGGCCGACCACATCACGCTGGGCGAGGGGCGCTGCGTCGTGAAGATCAGCAGGCTGGCGGCCGCCACTCCTGCCCTTCACCGCACCGTGCTGCCGATCCTGGAGGACAACCAGCCCGTCTCAGGTGCGGTAAGCAAGGGCAGGTCCCCGGCGCACCTTTTGAACCACCTGTTGCGTCAGAAGACCGCAGCAGGAATGGCATCTCGCACAAAGATTTTGATTCCATGGGTGGAGACGCTCAGGCAGCCCTCTGATAAGATATCGAGGTGCCTGACTCGTGCTGAGCTCAGCGGCCTACCTCGTGTCGGGGCCGAGGAAGCTGGACAGCACTTCTGTTGAGAAGGTTAAGCCGCACACCCTGGCGGCCTACAGGGCGGCGGCTATGAAGTTCGTGACCTACCTGGACGAGCACGGCTTCGCCCCCGACGGGCCCGAGCAGTGGGGCGACCTGCTTGTCGAGTACAAGAACGACATGCAGATGACCAAGTGCAACTTTTGAGTACGCCGTCGCGGCGGTGGAGTTCGTCTTCCCACGCCTGAGGAGGAAGCTGACGTGGTCCCACTCAGTGATCGACGCATGGCGAGTGTCGGCTGAGGTGAAGCACGCGCCACCGCTGGGCCGCGCGCCGGCTAACCTGGCCGCCATCTATTTCTCCTGCTGGGGCGTGCCGCGGCTGGGCGTAGGCCTGCTGCTGCAGGTGGACCGCGGCTTGCGCCCATCGGAGATGCTTCAGCTTAGAGCAAAAGACATATCCTTGCCATCGTCTAGAGGGGGGCCTGATCTGCAGCCTAATTGGGTTATCAACCTGGGGGCCAAGTCGGGGACAAAGGCCAAAAGGATGCAGTTCGCCATTATTTTGGAGCAGGGTGGAGTGCTGGAGAACCTCTTACACCGAGTAGTCTTGGGAACGCCGCCCGAGGGGCTCCTCTTTCCTGATTCGCTCGTCGACTACAGGCATCGGCTCAAGCAGTTTGAAGCAGCCTTGGGCCTCGACATTCACTGGGCGCCTCACTCGGCGCGCGCAGGGTTCGCCAGCGATTCCGTGGCTCGTGGTGCCCCCTTCCAGGACATCAAGGAGGCGGGACGGTGGCTCACAGAGTCCAGCCTCCGCATCTACGTGGACGTTGTCACCGCCTCCCGGGTCCTGGCACAGGCTGAGCAGCGAGGGATCGCCCCGCTCATCCGCGAGGCGGCCGAGAAGCTGCCCAACAACTTCCCGGAGGGCATCTTCGGCGAGGGCGAGGGCATCCAGCATGCCGCCAGCGGGCTGGCGCAAGGGCCAAGACGGCGCCTGGGTGCTGCCTGCGCAGGGAGTCCCGCCGGCGCCGCTGGCGGGGGGCCGCCGGGTGGCCTCACCAGCGCCCCGGGCAGCGCCAGCCCAGCCGCCTGCGCCAGCACTGGGCGCGCTGGCGGATGGGCTGCTGGCGGGTCCGCAGCAGCCGGGGGATGCAGCGGCGGGCGCGGGCGTGGTCGAGGCCGAGGCGCCAGCGCCAGCGGCCCCTGGCGCGGCAGCGCTGAGGCCCCCGCAGCCGCTGGTGGCGCAGCCGCTGGCAGCGGGCGCGGCCGCGGGGCAGAGGGGCGCGCGCGCTGGAGCAGCTGGTCGCTGCTGCGCGCGGCCTGGCTCATCGCGAGGTGGCGCGGACGCTCAACCTCGCGAGGAGTGACGTGGGCGGCGGTCGCCGCCTTGATGATCGGGTGGCTCTACGTTGCCGGGCCGCTCGCCCACCTCGGGACCATGATGGGCGTCGCGGCCAGCGTATCCGTCTCGGCTGGCAAGGTGGTCGACAGCAGCCTCGGGGCAGTCATCACGGCTGCGCAAGGCGTGTCCGACTTCGCCGTGACGTCGTCCCGCAGCTCGGCGAGCCTCCTGCAGGAGGCCTGGCGCGGAGTGGACATCACCGACCTTCACGTCCGCCAGCGCCACGCCGAGCGGCTAGCGGACGACCCCGAGATCCTGCAAGACTGGATCCAGCGCGAGTTCCTGTCAGGCGAGCCCCGCCCGCCTGGGGCCGAGCAGGTCGCCACCGCGATCTCTGAGGCTTCGGTGACCATACCCCACATGGCAGAGAGCTGGCAGATGCTGATCTGGCCCGGTCAGTACCGCGAGCTGCACATGACGCTCGACTTGCTGCCTTCCGGGTTCTACGGAGTCCATATGGTCGAGAGGATCGTCAACTTCACCGTTCAGTGGAGTAACCCGGTGTGGAGTAGCCTCGACTGCGACATCAGTTCAGAAAGAGATACAGTCGTGGCTCATATCAACTCCACCCTGGCCGGGCTCCCGCTCCCTGAGATCCGCTATATGTCCATGACTGATCGTGAAATCCAGGCTGCTAGGCTCCCAGGCGCCTGGATCAACATGGCCCGTAGGCTCGTTCGTGCTGTATATATGGCAGTAAAGAGTGTCCTGCAGCTCGTTTTGTTCGGAGTTTAGGGTGGTCACCGAAGATATAATTCTTCTGGAGCACACTGCGAGGGCGGGCCAAGAGGGCTTGCTTTCGGTTTTGATTGTGTTCCAAGTTCCCTTCTCAACTCATTCACGGTCCGAGCACATTTTGTGCCCCGGGTGAAGGACCAAGCTGTTGAGACAGATACAGCTCGCAAGCGGAGGTGGGTAGAGCTCGGCGGCAAACCTGTAGTTAGCAAGCCAAGCAGCAATTTTATTGTACTTCTCGCCTCCTTAGCAAAACATTCCAGGGGTGGGTCGAAACGGACACCATCATGGGATAATAATCGTAGAGCATGAGTGTTGATGTGGACCGACAGTTTGGGGTGGGATCGTGGAATTTTCCTTGGAGCCTCGGAGCCCGCAGGGGCGTGCCAGCGTGTTGGGGGGCCTTTTCGCCGGAGGGCCAAGTTCCCGGCCTGGCTCCCCTCGGCCCTCCAAAACGGGTGGGCTCGGTAGGTTGTGTTTTGGTTGCCCGTGAAGGCCCCCCTGCCCTCGCGTGTGCTGCACGGCCTGCTCCGCAACCGTACCATTTGGCTCCAATCTGGTACAGATTATCGCGACCCCCCCACCGTCCCCCGCCGAGCGGTAGAGCTCGGCGGCAAACCTGTAGTTAGCAAGCCAAGCAGCAATTTTATTGTACTTCTCGCCTCCTTAGCAAAACATTCCAGGGGTGGGTCGAAACGGACACCATCATGACGATGATGATGATGATGATGATGATGATGATGATGATGATGATGATGATGATGATGATGATGATGATGATGATGATGATGATGATGATGACGATGATGCTGATGATGGTAATGATGGTAGTGAGGACGATGATGACGAAACAACTCCTACCCACCCCCCTCCCTCCGCCTTCTCTCCTCCTTCGACGGGGCGGGCAGCCCCGTGGGCACGGGGGGGGGGCCATGCCGAAGGCGACGTCGACGTCGACGGGCACCGTGCGCTGGATGGCCAGGCAGCGCGCGAGGCGGTCCTGCCCCCGCCCGGCGGCTCGGCCCCCTCCCGGCTGGTCACCGGCCTCCCACTCCTGGTCGAGCCTCCATGTAGAGGCCTTGGGGTCGGCGGATCGCGCCGCATCGCCGATGCACCGCCGATGCATGTGCGATGCACCGGCGACGTCGGCGACGCATCGGCGCCGTCGGCATGGAGAAACTTCGGGCTCCATATCGAGCCACATCGCCGATGCATCGGCGATAAGGCGCCATCCTCCGCCCCAATCTACTCGGACCCCACCTGGGAGACGTAGATCGTAGGAGCCTCTATAGACATCAACGGCCCTCTCGTCAGCGTGATGTCGACCCGATTTCGTCCAGATTTCGACCACCCCTCTTCACCCCTCCGTCCAGAGTTCGTCCAGATTTCGTCCAGATGTCAACCGAATCCGACGGAATCGGCACAGAATCCCCCAAAACGCAAGGAACTTAGGGGACCCTCTCAGGTCCCCAGGAAGGACCACAGAAGGTCCCCTGCCTCCCACTTCCGTCGTTTGACGGTGGAAAGCTCCCGACCGGACCGCGCCACCCAGGGCTGACGCGGGTGGCTCTGGGGAACCACAAAGATACCTGTGCCGATACTCCACAGACCTCTCCTGGGGCGCGTTCTGACCAGGAGTTCGAGGCGAATCCAGCGGTGGCGACGAGGGGCCTCGCAGGAGGGAGAAAAAGGGGAAAACGAGGCAAGGGCAGCCGTATGGGTGCCTTTTCCTCCTCTGAGGGTCGCGGCTCGCTCCCCCGCGCGAGCCCCAGCTGCTGGCTGAGGAGGGGAAGCCAACTGCAGAGCCGGAGAGGCACCCGAAAGAGGAAGGGGGGGCCTCCGAGGCACTCCTAAGGGAGAGAGAGATCGGCAGTTCTCGATGATCCTCCGAGCGCGTGCTGGCGCCGACGTGCACTCGTCCACCGAGGCCCTCCAATGCGACGCGGTTGGTGCAGTGGGTGCTACGGTAGAGGGAAACAATTAGTGGACCCCCCCCTCTCCCCCAAACTCAAAGATGGCACGCACGGGGCAGACTGCGGTCGAAGTGCGACTCATTCAACCCACCGCCAGCATTGATCTTTGGAGGGGCATCGACAGATGAATGTGGCATGAGTGTTCGCTGATTTCTTCGGAACCCTGTCTCGGCGGAGCTGACCAGGGCCAACACACATTTGACTAGCGCGCGTTCCGAAGACTGTCGAGCAGGTCGACCGGGCTCCGCCCTCTGGGGGTGCCCACTATCCCTCCCCGCCCCCAGGCGGGGTCGAGGCCGGGAAGAGCAAGAGCTCGCGCCCTGCGGGGTGGCGGGCCCGCGGGCTCGGGGCTCAGGTCCCGAGGGGCAACGGGGGGAAAACCTCGAGCTGGATTCGGCGATACATCGCTGATAGATCAGCGATAGTACCCCGAGTGCGAATCCGCACGCTCCTGGGCGGAGCGGGCTATCTAGCCCCATATCGGGGATGGGTGGGCGATTGGGGGTCAATGCGCCCCCCCCCCCACGAGTCTATCCCCTGCGGTCGATTCTTGGGCGTGTCAGCCCACGCCACGCTGGGCGCCCTGGCCACGCTCTGCCCTCCGGGCCTCTGGGCCTACACCCAGAGCTGAGACGAGGGCAGGGCGAGAAAAAGTCCGGATGAGGACGAGCGGCGAACACATCCGTATCCACGCCCTCGCGGTCTGGATTCCGTGGCGCGATCCCGCGGAGAACTACGCGATCGCACGGATACGTTCCGCGCGGGGCATCCGAGGAGAAAGGCCCCGCAACCGCGGGGTCGCGGCCCATGAGGGGCCCAGCCCGCGAGGGCTCGGGTACGGACGTGTTCTTTCGCCCACGAGATGTGGACAGATCGGGAACCTCCGAGAGTCGGGCGCCGGGCGGGGTCTGAGTCGGGCGCCGCGGCTGTC